ATATTCACTTAGTAGCTGTAATTCCACTTGTGCTCTCACAAACACTCATACTACCAAATCACCAGCTGACCTTTTAGCATGCTGGCAGTAGTTCACCATGGTGAGGCCCTTACACCATGTACAGGGAACCACCTCCCCACTGACTGAGCTGTGCTCTACCATCAGAGGTACCTACAAAAAACTACAGAGCAAAATTGAGGCCACAATTTGATTGCAGAAGTAATTCAAGTCCTTGATAGTTGGTGTTAACTCCTCTTAGGACAGTCTGGTTTCAGAGGAAACATCCATAAGCTCTATTATTAGGTTGCTCAGCTTAGAGGAAACGTCGATCAAGACTACAGCAAGGACAAATCCTCCTGGCAAGGAGCATTTTCACCCCCTACCTTGTGACACTCTCTCTGAACCACAAAGACAACTACTGTCACTCAGAAAAGAGGGAGCTATAAAGCACTATAGATATCTTATCAGTCAGCCTTTTCCTGGAAATGGAGCAGTTTAAAAAAAAAAACCAAAACCCAAAACAACAACAAAAAAAGAAAAAAGCCCACAACTCAGAGTAATTCCTACCGAAGTTTACACTGAGCTCAAGTAATTGAGGCTCCTTCTATTAAACAAAATTAAAAATCCCAGAGTTCAACACAGTAAATTTAAAAAGGACAGAGACAAATTTTCCTGCCCTAGAAACACAGCCCTCAAGCTCCCAAACCATTTTCTGTAATATTCCTCAGCTGGCAAAATGGAAAGCTGGCAGCCACCCAAGGTATTCAGACAAAGCATCGTAATTAGAAGCTACTTAAGGCATCATGAACCAAAATATATGCTAATAAAAACATCATTAACTAACTTGTGAAGAGACTCTTCTTAGGGGAGGGAATCTTTGCTAACAATAACATAATTATCGTGTGTTTAAGTCCTGAAGTCCGTGGCAACAATTTAAAGCTGATGGGGAAAAAGTGAGATAGGGAAAAACGTGACATTTGGAAAATACTGGGGTGGAGGGAAAGTGACTCCGAAACCCAGAATAACACGAGCTTGTCTGATAACAACACATCAACATAACGCAGCTGGGTCTGCAGAGACCAGTACTTGGGCACAGAAAAGCTGGGGAATTTTGTTAAGTGTGCTGCCAGCTTAAGGTTCTCCTACCCAAAAAAGGGAGAAAAAAAAATAATAAAAGGATTAGCAAGCTCTCTCCTGTGTAATCAAGTACAATGTGCATTTCCCACAGCCAGAGCTGCTGGAGAGCCAGGTACTCCTGTGCAGGATCTCCTCTGGGAAACACGCTGAGCAGTCACTCCCACCAAGGCTGGGAGGGAAGTTGCTTTGGATCTCCACTTTCTGCTGTATAATTGCCATTCTGCAGAAATGACATTGGCTTGTTATTTCCCACAAAAATGGCAATTCTGGTTCCCTCTCTACTCTGTATACAATTCTGAGTTTCCTGACACAAAAGAAATAAAATATTGTATCTAAAATCCGTATGAATCTGTTGTCCATGACCAACCTCGAACTGGCTCAACAGACCAGTTCTTCAACAAAGTCAGGTATCCCTACAAGCTTTTAAACCCCTTGTGACATTACAAGTGGCTATCTGAAAGCTGCTCTAATGCCTCAAGGGGGTGCTGAGCGCTTCCAGATGGCTCCTCTGAGCACCCAGGACACAGCTCCTTTTTCAGAAGCAGCCACAGGAATTTCCAGTTTCTCCCAGCTGACTGAAGGCAGCCAGGAGGTACATTGGATGTCACAGAGCATTGCATAAATGGGGGCTTGAAACTAAGGTATTTGAGAGCGGTTTCTCTACACTCTCCAAGCTGGCAGTTTCCCACTCTGGTGCTCAGAGAAACTCAAGAAAAAGGAGGAGAAAACTCATAAAAAAGAAGAAACTCACGAACAAGGAGTGCAGAAGTGCTGCTGCTGCTGCTATTGTTACCACCTGCCCGCTCTACCATGGTTAAGGTTTGAGCTTAACTTTCAAGGCAAAAGCAAGGCTTCTGTCAAATCTCAGCCTGGGCTCTTCTGCCGTGAAGTAAAGGAGAGCAGCAGCAGCACAGGGCAGGCTCCATCCCCATCAGCACACAGACACAGCAACAGCTGGCACAGCTGGGGAAGCACAGAGTGTCCCAACTCCAGAACAAGCTCACACAAGTCCTACACTTGGCCTCGTGTTTAGAAGAGCTGGGCCTAACGAAGGCAGGAAGTCCTAAACGTCATTATCAGCAGCACAGACAACAGGGGCACTGACAAAACTTTCAGACATTAACACTGGAACGTAAAGCCTCAACAAAAATTGCAAAGAACACGAGAAGGACAGCAGCTCTCAAAGCAGAAACACCACTCAGAAGACATTTCTTAGTACACTAAGAAAAACAGCAATACGCCCAGAGGTTGGGGTAGCATGGAAGTCTTGGGTCATCACTGTTCTTCAGAGGATAACAAGAAAAACAAAAACAGGAGGAGACATCTGTTCTTGAACAGCAGATCAGAAGGAATAACACAAAGATGACAAAGTAACTAGAATCCCAAATACAAATGAAAATGAATAACCTATTGAGAAGCATCATGTGTTTAACCGTAAAATGGGGATGTTCCAGGAGAGAGAATGGCCTGGAACGGTATAGACCTCACCTTGGGAAACTTGTCTGCCTTGGTAGCTAGCACTCAACACCCATCAACTTTATTTACTGTATCACCCCAGTTTCCTTGAGTCCTAGTGCAGGATTGGGAATACATTGTGCAAACACAGAAGAAAAAGATGGTCCCTGGCCTAAAGAGATTATAATTTATGATTGCACATGAAAACCTGTAACATAACTTACGTGTAATAGATGCTGAGTAATTTAACAAGGTTTGTGGTGGTCACTGCTCATCATTGTTGGACACAGAAAAACCCCCCAAAAACCAGCAAGTAGATGTTTGAAAACATGATGAGCATAAAAAAAAAAAAAAAAAAAAAAGAGAGAGGAAACATAAGGGACTAGATGGGAAGGATGGATTTTGTGTCCAAGAGTCAGAGCTCTGTCACAGATTTCCTGCCTCAAATGAGGCATCATTTATTTAGTTCAGTAAATATGACTCTATTAATATTCACCTATACTTAAAAAAAAAAAAAAAAGTTGAGTCTTAAGAGTATGTGGGAAAATAGATTGGAATTTATATCTAAATGTCAAGAACTAAGTTTTGTGTGCTAAAGAGCTAAAAAAAAAAAAGAAAGAATGGGGCAGTGAAGAGGGAGAGGGAGAAAAAAAAAAGAAAGAGGGAGAGAGAGAATAAGCAAGGAAACACAAAGCACAGGAAAGAAAACTGAATCTTCGCTACCTCTTGCAATAATTAGTCAGTTAGCAGCTTCAGACCATGCAGAAATTGAACAAACAAGATTCAAGGGAAGGAATTATGTTGTACTTCAAATATGTTTTTCAAGATCCGTTTTCCCCACTATAAATAAACTGAATTGCTAACAGCCAACAGATTTCATCAGGGCCACTTTATATCATGCTGCGCATTGTAAATAAAAGCATTTCCTGTACTTAACAGCAAAAATCTTTACTGCCTGCAATTCAGATACAAGGTATGGATAATAGAGGGGGATGTATCAGGACTGACAGGATAGCCTGTATAAGCATCTCATTTCACCTCAACCTAACATGAGCATACCTACATTTTTTTTTATGAACAGCAGCAGTGCAAGAAAGTGTGAAGATATTTTAAAACGTGTGCATGGGTTTCTCCATTTTACACAACACACAGAATTACTAAGGTTGGAAAAGACCTCTAAGATCATCCAGTCCAACCATCAACTCACCACCAACGTGCTCACTACACCATATCCCCAAGTATTACATCTACACGTTTCTTGGATGCCTCCAGAGATGGTGACTCCACCACTTTCCTGGGCAGCCTGTTCCAATGTCTGACCACTCTTTCGGAGAAGAAATTTTTCCCAATATTCAACCTGAATCTCCCCTGGCGCAACTTGAGGCCATTTCGTTTCATCCTATCACTGGTTACCTGGGAGAAGAGACCAACACCCATCTCACCACAACCTCCTTTCAGGTAGTGTAGAGAGCATTAAGGTCTCCCCTCAGCCTTCTCTTCTCTAGACTAAACAATCCCAGTTCCCTCAGCTGCTCCTCATAAGACTTGCGCTCCAGACCCTTCACCAGCTTCATTGCCCTTCTTTGGACACACTCCAGGGCCTCCATGTTTTTCTTGTAGTGAGGGGCCCAAACTTCTTTCAAACTTCTCAAGATAAATGTGGGCATATATAAAGAGGACTCTACAGTCATCCTATTACTGCATACTACTGCCACTGAGGCTATTAAAAGTAACAAGTGACCAACCAGGCACAGTCAAAATGAACTAAATGTCCACAAACTCCATTATGGCTTTTTTGAGAAAGTAACAAGTGACCAACCAGGCTTACATACAGTCAAAATGAACTAATGTCCACAAACTCCATTATGGCTTTTTTGAAAAGACAAAGGAAAAGCTACTTCATGTCAGCAATTCACTTCACACACTTGAAAAATCAAGACAAAAACCCTAAGTGGTTCAGGTTGCAGGTGCTAATTTCCAAAATAACACCAGCAGACACAACCCATGCCCATATTCAATGTCACAATTCAAGACACTCTGGAGTCAGCACCTAAGCTCAGACCACCTGTCAGCCCATGTTCTGGACATCAAGTGCTTCCCAATGTCAACAAAAGCTGCCACATGTATGCCTGATGAAACCAAAGGGGAGCTGGAGACCCCTTGTACACTGCCCAAGCTGTCTTGACGAAAGAGGCTGACAATTCACATCAGGCCTGTTTTTTTTTAGGTAAGTAGTATGGTCAGCCCACCTCTTCATTTTTCCCACCTGTGAAATGGGAACCTATATACTTGGTGACTGCTAAGTTTTACACTTACGAAGTCTTCTGAAGATGAAAGGTTTAGAAAAAGTATGCCAACATATTGAAAGAGATCAGGATAAAAAAGACATATTGCAAAGTAACACTCACCCGCTCCTGACCAGCTGTGTCCCAGATCAGAAATTTATGAAGCTCATTCCCACAAGGCACAGTTTTAGTCATAAAAGATGCTCTGAAAAGAAGGAAGCAACAGAAATTTGTAACATGACCAACACTCTGAATACGCAACCTATAGACCTTAGCCAGTTCTGCTATGTTAGACTTCATATGGGGAAACACTAAAACCTTGATAAAATGCCTACAGAAGTGAAAGTCCCCCTTTTCTCAGATAAAATGATACCTATATATGTCTTTTAAAAGAAAGGAAAAGCCTCTGAGGTTCAGAGTTCTCCTGTTGCTCACACTTAGCTTTTGCTGCTAGCTAGCTCCATCTTCTCGGTGATATGGACCTGAGAAAAAGGTATCAGCCAGCATCACACCAGGCAATTAATGCACAACTTTTCAGTTTAACCTAGGAGACTGGACTGCCAGGGAACAGACAAGTCGCCTGCTGGAAGGCATGTGGTGAACAAATAGAGAAAAGTTCTACCTTGTCTCAACCCAGATGAAGAAATCTTTGTGGCCTCTTGTATTTTTTGGAGGAAATGCGATTTGTCTATGTTTTCATGGTGTGTTTTCTGTTAGCTTAAGAAACAGAGTTACGAATGTATAGGCTTTTTCTATAGTATGGCACTTGAATTGAAAGCTGGCTAGGAGATACTGCCTAACTCTGGTAACCTCCCCTCCACTGCTCCCCATCCTATCTGGACACTGCTGAACAATTTCTGCCATAGTAACATTTTTTCCCTGCTCATAAAAACACATTTGATACAATGCACTTTCATTACAAAAGCACCACATGACATCAAATGACATATGACTGATCAAAACATTTCCTGAGAATGGTATACCAGAGTTCTCCTCTATAGCCATCTCCAAATTGCTCAAATTTAACAATGTTGCATTGCTCATAAAAATATTAAGCAAAAAAAGCAGCATTTTCTTTGGTTATTTTCAGGGCATGTGCTTTCAGTTGTCACTTTTCTTCTCAAAGCATTAAGCAACACTTTACAGCTTCAGAACCAGAAATTTTAGAGCCTCAACAGCTAGTGTAGATTGCAAGTATTGTATATTTAAAACATTTAATTTGAAAAAAAAAAAAAAAAATCCTTATCTGTATAGAAAAGTCATATCACCTGCACGCAAGCTAGCCTTCACATTTTAATCCTCACACTGAAAAATATTTTCCTTCTGTTATCATTATTATGAAAATTAAAGGGATTTTTTTTTTAATTTGACCAGAAGACATTTACTTAGCAACAACAACCACTTGGGGAAAAAGGCTGCTGATGATTTAGAAGTAAAGAACCACTCAAGTTCCCATTGATTCCTTCACTGCAAAGAAGCGTCCTTCAGTCAGTAATGTTATTCATTACATGCTTCCTTTCTCTCTGTCCATTTTTCTCTATTCATTACATTCAGGAGTCCAAAATTGTCCTGGACTTCAATGTGCAATTCCAGCTGAGACTCCTTCATGCATCGAAAGGCAGAGCTTTGGAAGATATTGTCTAACCCTCTGAACAACACACAACAATCAATACCAATCCTTCACAGACAATTTAAAACAGCTCTAACACACAAGCCAGATCAGCCCTTCCCACCCATATTACTCCTTTGTGAACGTTACGTATTAGCTGTCTTTCCCATAAGAAATCAAGGATTTTCAAAATTTTCCAGGTAATGTTGGATTTAGCAGACTTGTCCCTAAGGTGTTAAAAGAAAAAAATTTGGAATTAAAATCAACTACAGGACTAATAGGCTTCTGATAGTCTGACACATGGAAGCTTGGCAGTTTTTAAAGAACAGGTGTGTATAATAATCTAGTATTATTATACTAAATAATTGTATTTAGTTTAAATTGTGTTGTCCTTATGTCAAGAAAGATAGGATAATGTAATATGTCCTAAAACTAGAGGAAAGCACGTCCACATCTGGGAACAGACACTGTCCACGTTCCAGCCCAGCTTGGCAGGACACACAATGAGCTCTGACAGCCTCTCCATAACAGATTATGCTGCAATATAGTAAACTGAGGTCCCCTTGGTATTCTCGGAACAGGGAGAGCAGAGCAGAACTGGCCTGGGGCAACGCCAGACTCTCGGAACAGGTAGCATGAGCTGAAAGCTGTTAAAGGAGGCCAAGGGGTTCAGTCAGATTGACAAGCTGGAGAAAAAAAGATATATAGTATTTAGAGCCTTGAAAGTAAGGAAAAGAAAGGAGCTCAGCTGAGGTCAGTGACTTAAAAAAATATACCAAAGAAAAAAGATATCATGCATGGTACTTATGCGTGGTACTTACCCAATAGTAGGACTAATATTGTGATCGAAGTGGTCCTGGACAAATCGACAAACAATACTCGATTTCCCAACCCCAGTATCCTGAAAATAAAAGAAAGCATGGCAGTGAGTTCAGGAGACCCTAGATACCAATTCTTCACCTGAAGAAATAATCAAATATTAATCTGTGAAATCAAATTCTCTCTAGTGGCAAGTGGGGCATGTTAAACATTTCAAAAGAAAAGCGAGCACATGGATTATGCTTTGCAAATGTCAGCATTGTGAATGGAGCTCCCTGGTCCTCGTCCCAACTCTCCCTTCTCTATAAGCTTTGTATTTTTGGGGGTGGATTCTATATTCCTGTTGCAAAGGCAGACCAAGCATGCTTCCAAAACTACTTACTAACACCAATCTTTTAGTACACTGACAGCACTAACTTGGTGGAAGCAACCTTTTCATGGCAAGACAAACAAGCCTGCTTAGTGGAAACTTTGCAGAGGCTTCAGATGGTTTTGAAAAGGCAGAAACCCAAAGATTTGGATCGCCAGAGATGTGCAGCTATCCCCATGCCGGTTGTGTTACTGGACTGCAGTGAAACAGCATTAATTCAAATGCTACACAACTTGCTCTCTACACTGCAATGTGGCAGGCTGCTTCCATTTGGAGGAATAGTCCTTTTTTACCCTCTCAATCAGTAAGGAAAAATAACAGCAGTACCGTACTGGAATAAAATTCAGAATAAGGGGGTACGAAGCTTGAAATTATGCAGAAATACTATTTTAGGCATTTAATATATTAACAACTTCCCCAAAATGCAGCATTTTTCGGCTTGTCTCTGTTACTCCACAAAACCTTGGATGGTAGGTAGAAGAACTTAAATTATACAAAGAATTATCAAAGAAAAGGAATAGAAATATTGCTATGTCTCCCACAGAATTGCAAAGAGCCTCCTTAGAGACACAAAGGATGTCAGGAAATCGATCCTGACCTTTTCCAAGACATTAAAAGTGACAGGCCAGGGCCCAATCTAACTCATTAAAAAGTCAATGGAAAGTTTTCTATTAATTTCATTCAAAGTGATTGCAGAGCTACCAGGTTGTACCTGATGGTCCCATTTGTATCCACATTTTAAGGCACGTGACTGATTTACACAAACTTCTCGAAAAGCACCAAGACAAGAGAATACAGTTTGTTGAGAGTACTACACACACAACTACATATTTTAAATAAATAAATAAATAAAGCAGCCTTTGCCCATACATAACTACACATAAAAAAATAAGCCTTTGCCTTTCCTGTAATCAATTTTGCAATATTTTATCTCATTTTGAATATGAAAGAAATAGAATGCCTGTATTTAGATTTCCTTTCACCATGCTTAAATGGAACTATTCATCACTGCAAGTGGAGTCTTTATAGACAGCACTTATTAGAAAACCATCACTTAAACTCTGATATTTAATTCAAAGCTGTCCTTAGCCAGCTTAAAAGCCATAATAAATGCTCATGCTACACAGACGGCTGTTTATCTACTGTGTTCAATCAATAGAAGAAAAAAGATCAAAGAGAGGAGCAGTGTTTAAAACCATCCCCATAGCCTTTGATCAATAGCAGCAACACATCCTGTTGCTATTCCCAAATTTTGCCTTCATTATCGATTCCAGCTGACATCTCTGTATAATTACCAGACCAGGATGGCAGAACACATTTAAAGGGGGGGGAAAAAAAAAAAAAAAAAAAAAAAAAGTCCTCTGCACTGAAACTGAGTATCTAATTATTACTGCAGATTTTAAATGTTGTGGAGAAACCAAAACTACCACCCCACTGGGTGCAAGGATTTACATTTCCCTCTTTCGGGGACAGAGTTTCTGCCATCATGTTCGAAACTGGATCTTGACTCCTGTGACCCAGCAATGCTTTAGTTTCATCCGTTTCCTCCAGCTCCTTTGCCAGGTCACTCAGAAGAACAACTGGAATTACAGCTCCTGAGCCCCATCTCTGGCAGGGACGTGACATCCACAAGAGAGGATTAAAGCTTAGCTCATTTTCCTGGAAGCTCCTACCTCTTCATCTTTCAGTTCCTGGCTCTAACTGATGTTTCATGCTAACACTAAATTAACTTTAGAAGTTTCTATTGCCCTTGCATCTCTTGCAACAAGCACAGCTGAACTTAAGCATATGCCAGGCACAGAAATAGCCCTCAAGAAGCTTAAAGGCATTCTCACACTTTGCTCCTGGAGTTGCTTGGACCACATAAAGGGTTAAACTTACCCCTGGTGTAACTCCAGTGAAATCAATGGACCTGGACCACAAATGAACCTGTCTTTAGGACGACTGCTATTCCAGCTGGTGGCCAGTGCTTTCTAGGAGCCAGGCAAGTTACTGCACCATGGGATTCACTTGAAATAAGCACCCCTGGCTTCTGTTTTGTTGCCTGGAGGATACAAATGGCGGGCTACCAGAGTGTAATTAGAGCACAGAGGGGAAGGAAATAAAAAAGAAAAAGCTTCCTACTCAAGGCAGTGATTATCATTCCAGTGTGGGATTTAAAACTACTTAGACAACTTTCAGTCTATGTTATCATATCTGCACATGTCACATGAGACGCTCACCTGCCTGAAAGCAAAGCAAATCATGGTATATGAACATTATACAACAACTTGAAAACTTAGTAGAAATCCTTTACTGCTAATCAGACCTTATCTTTTACTAACAACAGGGAACTATCTTTCAAGTTGATCTCACAGAAGTCAAAGAAAGCATGGTCGCTTCAAAGAAGTAGAAAAGGTAATCACTTCTTGGCAAAGCATTTAATTAAGCCTCCTTACTAAGGCCGTACAAAGCTTTCCTGCTACCATCTGCTTTGTCCTTTGCTATATAGTCTTTCTCTACATACATCCATTTTTCTAACATCTGATGGGGATGATCATCCTCATTTTGTTCCTTTTTCTTCAAAGGATTGTAACAGACTTGTCAAGCCACATGCCTGGTTAACATTCATACACGCAGATTACTTCTTTTTTCAGTTCTCAAAGTTCTGCTTTTCGCCAGCGTTTTATACCCTCTGCTCCTTGGGTTTTAGTTTTTGGGTTTTTATTGCATGCTAGTGTACGTACAACATCAAATATACACCAAGGAATAAAATTTTGGCTTATGTGAAAGGTCACAGCAGTATTAAGCTGAGTGGATTGGACAAGTTTCAGAAACTTAGAACACATCCTCAAGAGTTATGTTGCACTTTAAGGAATAGACCCTGTAATTCTTCAGAAAAACCCTTATCTATGGCAAATCTAAGGGTTTCAGCACCATACTAATTGACTCATCATGATCAAGAGTATCCGTGAAAGGAGTGGCAAGAAAGGAATAAATACAAAATTATTATCCTGAATCAAGATGCTCATGATGCATTTGATGAGTCACTAGTAGAACCAACTGCACATTTTGCTTTTCTCCTTTCTTCTTTACAAGCCTTGTAGCACACTTGCAAAATACCAGTTATAAATTGCATTGTACCAAGATAAGCAAAAAGTGTGGAGTGGAGAGGAAGGAAAAGAGTAGAAATGTAATCTACAGTAAGTGAACCGCTATTAGTTCACCAGAAGAAGTAGCTACAACTTCCCACTGGTCAGCAAAATGGATATGGAAATCTGAAGCTGCGCCAGATGTTTCTGATAAACACAAGGAACCAATGCAAACATGACCAATTTCTGATTTTTACTCTTCAACCCTGAATAGATATTCTCTATTCCTCCAAAATCCTCTACCTGCATATTTAGGCACAAGGATTTTAAGAGCACCAAAATGGAGAGCAGCATGCCACAAACACCGGTGCTTCCACCCACACTCCTGCTCGCAGACAACCACCCCACGTGGCTCTTCCTGGCTCACATCACCATAAAGGAGATGAGACTGTATTTCATGCCAGCAGAATCACAAGATGCCAGCAACTCATTTGCAGGCAACCAACAACTGAGCTGCTGATTTCTTCTGGCTGATTTGCAGCAGCACAGAGGAAGACTTGGGGGGGGGAAAGAAAGAAAAAAAAAGACAAACATAAGTTTAATATGAGCAATATATTAAAAAAGAAAACCATTCTCCCATTACAAATAGGCAGTTGGTATATTCCTTTGTCCACTGTTCCAGATGTGTGCATCCTGTCAGAAAAGAACTAATATAGGAAAAATTAGCTCTTTAATTTAAATCCGGATGTTTTATTTATACTTTTGCACAAACATAGGGCTCAATCCTCTAAGCACTTTTCCAAATTGAAGACAACTATACCACTCTGTAAACACATCCTTGATTAGGATGTTAGTCTTTAGTCTTGATGTTATAAAAGCTTTACTCCTCATGTATATCTTTTTTACATCTGAAATGGAACTAATGTTGAACTCACAAAAAAATCCACATATATGGTGACTGATGACTAAACAGCAGCCCTATAATTATGCACACTGCTGCAACTGCTATTTTATTCTTGACTATGTAAAATCTTTCTGTGCTAGGTTAACACAGAGGGCTTTTAAAAGATATGTAAAATTAAGATAAAACATGCGAAAATCCTTTTATGACTCTAGGATTTTGACAACACAAATAAAACAAGAATACTAGACAGCATTTCACACGAGGAAGTGGCACATTAAGAATGAACATACTGAAGAAGCTGCCTTCTGTCTTCCCACTTGCAAAGTTAGAATAAAAAAAAAAAGAACATCTGGCTTGTAACCACCACGGATCTCATGACTAACTTCCCATTTCAGCTTTAAAAGATGGCTGAGATACCCTGGAGATGGGTGCCACAAAAATCTGCATCAAGAAGTAACGGAGAACTGATCTCTGTAAAATAGGGATCCAAATCATAGCTCCTTCAGAAGGATGAAAGTTCCCATCAGCTTAGACAAAGCCAAGAGTCAATCTACAATAATTCAATTTGTATAAATTATTAAAAATTACAAATGTCTGTCCCTCCAAAGCATTTCTCGTAATAACACAGATTCATTGAGACATAATCTGCAGGCAGAGGTCTCATTAAAACTGACAGGGTTTAACATGCATTTGTCTCGCGTTTCAGAAGAAGAATGCTCATACCTTAACAACCTATAGAAGGTACTAATACCAAGTGCTCCAGAAAAGCAGGTAAAGCCAATTATTTCAACAATAATACAAGAAACACTTGGAAGTGACAAGTCTTAATCCTTTCCCATAAGCAAGACACCAATCCCACAGCTCACGTGGCTTCACTGAACTTGGCAGGACTCCCCTGCCCCTCAAGAGCCCGTTTGTGCTGGGGCTCCCTGAAAGCTTCCCCACTAACCACCTGAACTGCAAAGACACCTCAAGCATTTGGCAGCTCAGCCCTTTCTCTGAGGGTCCCTGGTCAAGAGAAAAACAGTGTGACCGAGGGTTGATTCAGTATAACCCCCCATGAAGACTCTCGTGGCACAGCTTCCTCATCACACGGACACCTGGAATTACAAAGCTGCTCACCCCAATGAAAACCTGAGTTGCAGGCAGAAGGTAGTACTGGAGCCCACCAGCAAGCTGTTTTGAAGCTTTCTAAAGATACATTATCATCAAGAGGTACAGTAAGTGTAGGCACTAGAAACAACCATGGTCAAATCTGGCCCACTAATGATCTTCTCAGTGCATCTTCTAGTGAGATGCTGCTGTCTTGTGTTATCTTTTGCCGGGGCGGGGGGAAGGCAGGAAGGTTCAATCAAACATACAGATCAAGGGTACAGTCAAGAAGCTGTCCCACTCTTCTGGCTGTTCCTGATTGAGAGAAACAGCAGTTCCTGGCTCCCTGTCACATATTCATTCCACCGGATAAACTCTTTGGCTGGTTCATTACTAAATGAAAAATAACAGAGGAGCCAGTTTTCACTCAAGATTTCCCAAGCTAAATTCTCCTCTTTGTTACACTGATTTGGCTTCTGCCAGTGCTACAGCAGAAAGGAAGGAGAGGTCCTTGCCTTGGCCAGTGCAGAATTTCCATTGCTGGAGTAATTAAGATGTACACATGAAAACATTTGAATTGGTACGAAAGTTGGCAAAAAGGAGAAAACTGTCCTTTATCATCAATGCATTTGATATTTTAAATACCAAAATCTCTACAACTGAACAGGCAAATCTGAGGTGACAGACATAGTTTAAACTTTAGGGGAAGAAAAATAATCAATGAGTCTTACAGAAAATGCAAACGCAGAGAGACCTTTCATTCTAGTAGCTCTGTAAAGCGCAGCTGGTTTTGACTTGGCAGTTCAGCTTCTGCACATTAAAATAGCCATTCTTTCCACTGTCAGAATTGGCCACACTTTAGTTTCTGATTTACAGCTGAAACCCCCTGGCCCATTCCCATCTCAGCTGGACTTTGGACTTTTTTTTCAAATTCAGATGGAATTTGAAAATTCGCAGCAGTGTAATCACATCACAGCGCTGCTAGATGGTCAGCATTTTATGAGCTATCATCAAACAAATCGCTACGCCTGCACCGTAAAGTATCTCTGGGCTTTTGCAGAAACGCCTGCTCAGCTCTGGTCAAGCCTGGCATCTAGGAGGAATGTCACTCCTCATGCAAGGTCTGGCATGCAGCCCTGAGATATCCAACCTGCATCTTCGATGCTTTCAGAGGTGCCAGTCCTTAACCCAAAGGCACTGGGTAAGGTGATGAGCTAAGGCCAAGTACAGGATTACAGCTGTCTTAAATTCCATTTGGAGGTAAAAAAGCAAGAAGCTGAACAATAAAATAAAGCTTTGCAATTTGCAGCCTGCTTTAGTCCTCTATGCCTGCTATTAACATTTTAATCGTTACTCAGACGATCAGATGCAGGCAGCATTGCAATACTTTCCAGGTCTTACTAATCCAGTTACAGCTGCTCTGGAAGGCTGTGGCAGGCGGCTTGAAGAGCATCTGAAACTGGCTTTGGATTTTTATCAACCATATGAACATACAAGGAAGAGTTATGCACAACAGACTCCTGATCATAGTTTCCAAGGGCAGTATTTTAATCCAAGAATCACTCTACCCAAAAAACTTTTGCTAACTTTAAACACATCCTTCGTCTTTCCCTGTATTTGGGTATCACTTACTTGTCTGAAGACACTGCTGTAAGGAAAAATACCTTTCAGGAAACCTAGGTTCAGAGACACCCTTGGGACTGAACTGAATCTGCCAAGCACCAGGCTTGTCCCAGTGAAAACGCAGCCACGCACTGCGGAGTGGTGTCTAGGAAAAAGTGCAACTAGCTTCTTGCTGTATTCAGTTTTTCCACCTGCAAGACATATCAAGTGAGCAAATCCCACTGCTGCACAAGCACACAGATGAAAATACAAGAGTAGCCCTTAGACTGACACGTTGGCTCTCGTCCCCTTCATGAACACAAAACTGCCTGAGGCTTCAGCCTGAGCTGAGGGATGCAGGCTGGGGCGCTCCCAACCCTCCCTTCTGCAGTGGAACGAATACGCATCTCATTCAGGACACAAATAATTTTTGTAAACTCCAATTTTCACTACAGCCCTGTACAATGAGAAGTAGATTACTTCCCCTGTGGACAACATGATACTCAGATCCTTTTCCTGGGCATTTGCTGGAATCCCCCTTCCAGAGCTACAGAACTAGCCCAGGGGCACCCCTGCTTCCCAAAGCAGCAGCACGATTTTTCAGCTCCCAGCCAGGCCCTCTATCAAACGCGAGATCTGTTGTGTTTTTTCTCCCTATCCCATCACCACTTATCTGACTTTATTCATCACCTCTGGTACCCTGAAAAGCTGGTACAAGCCTGGCAATGTACTCCTACAACAAGAGCTCCAAATGACATCAGACGTGGCCTTATGTCACCAGTGATGTACAAGGATGTTTCTGCAAAGGTCTGGGGTGTATGCATCTGTAATGCAAATTTTTTGAAAGGGAAGAACTGGAACCAGAGTTGGCCTCCAGGTCCACATGCTATCATGCACTCTCCTGAGTGAAGGGTACTTGCTGGATGAACAGTAACGCTTTCATTGAACATTGGAACTGAGTTCCCCAAGATCCCAGCACAAACACACAGATCTCGATGCAACCGTGTTTTCAGGGGGAGGATTATTCTGCAGTGTCTCACTTCGTCAGCAG